AAGTTCCCCTTTATTCCTAGTTTGTTAAGTGATTTTTACCCATGAAATGGTGTTGACTTTTTTTCATGTGTGTTTTGTATATCCCTTGAGATGATTTTGTGGTTTTTGTCCTTTGTTCTCTAGCTATGGTGTATTGCAGGGTTTTGATTTTGTATATTGAACTAGCCTTGCTTTCCTGGGGTACATCCCAGTCGGTCACACTGTAGATTCCGTTTTGTATGCTGCGGGATTTTGTCTGCTAGTCCTTTGCTAGGCATTTCATCTCACAGATTTGTTTGTGGTGATGTGTTTGTATGGTGTTGGTATCTGAGGGCTATTGGCCTCCTAGAATGAGTTGAAAGATGCTCCCTCTTCTTGGTAGAAGTTGTGGAAGATTGGTAGCATAAAATGTTAGAGACGATGTGCTTGATCCCATTTACACGAAAGTAAACATGAGGCAAGGCTAGCCCACGGGCACAGGTGTCAGGGTAACGTTATCTTTAGAGAACTCGAAGGGAGAGCATTTTCATCTCAATGGAGATGACACAGGGAGGTCACTTTCTGCCCTGCGATCACTGTTACTCTGGGTTGGACTTAAATAAAAGCAGGGCCAGAGCAAAGGTGAGGCCACTGGAGTGGCTGGCCCTGCTGGCTGCAAGCAGTAAGGAGTACACTTTCTAGAGTGCATTTAAAAATAATAATCAAAAGGATTTAAAAAGTTTGATTTTTGTCATCATTGGATCTTAAGGATATCATATTTAATATTTATTTGAATTTCAGCTTATGAGAAGGATTTCTTTCTGGAAACATAATAGAAGGCAATTTGTTTTTAGCAAATCTGGGATAATTTTATACAGCACACGGCATACTACTGTGTCAGTCTCAGTGCTTTCAGTTGTAGGTCAGTGAAGAACCTTTGCTGCATATTCGACCCGTTGGCGGGATATAATTGGTGTTGGCCAATGGAAAGCTAATTCAGTGTAGACAACAGGTTAGCCTAGGACAGCAGTTTCTCAAACTGTGGGTCGCGACCCCTTTGGGTGTCAAACTACCCTTTCACGGGCATTGCCCGATTCATAACAGCAAAATTACAATGAGGAAGTAGTAACAAAAATGATTTTATGGTTGGGGGTCACCACCACATGAGGGAACTATATGAAAGAAAGGGTCGTAGCCTCAGGAAGGTGGAGAACCACTGGCATAGGAGTTTGTTTTTTTTTAAGACAACAAATTATTTGATTTATTATTCATACAAGCTCCATTTGTATTTATTTAGCTTTCTGACTCTGTGCTTGTGCCTTCAACACGTTCACAACGATTTTCTGCTCCTGCATAAGGAAAGCACGCTGGATCCTGTCTCGGACACATTTAACGCACATGGACCCACCGTAAGCCCTGCCGAGTAAGCCCTGCGACGTGTGTTTTGGTTTCGGACAACCTCATGAGAACTTTGGTCTCACAGCACGGACCCCTTGAGGTCGGCCTGGGCACACGCTGCATGCAGATTTTGGCGCTTTCCCAGCCTTTTTTGTATACAAGTAAACAGTTCTGTTACCAGGGGTTCGGGACAGCCTAGTTTTGTTAGAGGCTGCACTGTAGGACAGCCTACGCCGGTGGTCCGACGCGGGCCCATTTTGCACACCTGCACACAGCGTCTCCGGAAGAGCGGCCTCGGGGTTCTTTTAATGAATTGGTCTCACCTGTTTCTGGGGACCATAGCTAAACTGTCCACATGATTTGGGGAGGATACATTAAAAAGCAGAGGTTGGTATTAGGGGAGCAGCTTCAAAATGTGGGAGAACAGTCCTGCCCTGATCTTCTTCCCTGACTGCTCATTTGTGCTGACCGGGTAAGGCCGACAGGTAATGGTAACCTCCATTCCCTGCTTCTGGGGAATGGGGTCTTCATCAGACTCACACTCTGACCTTCCCTTCACCCAGTAGGAGGTGCAAAGCTGATGAAACTAGACTGGGATACAAGAAAAACTTCCTATATTGTAGCTCAAATCCTTCTGGGCATTTTGGCCTTTTTGAGAAGGTTTCCTCCATTTCACGTGACCCTACAGAGTCCTTTCTACTTAGATGGAAGAAGGCAAGTTCAGTCCAGAGTTGAAGAGCGGTTGAAGAGCCCAGTGGTTCTCAACCTTCCTAATGCCGCCACTCTTTAATACAGTTCCTCATGTTGTGGTGACTGCAACCATGAAGTTTTCATTGCTACTTCATAACTGTAATTTTGCTACGGTTATGAATCCGGCTACCCCTGTGAAAGGTTCGTGCGACCTTTACAGGGGTTGCGACCTCCAGGTTGAGAACCGCTGGTCTAGGCGAATAAATTTTATTTAGAGGAAAAGTAATTAGGAATTTCACCTGAAGCCATTGGTGAAATTCGGCCTCCAACTTAGCAAAATTTGGAAGGATCTTTTGGTTACCATTCCATTGACTCCAGTGTCTTTTCATTTAGTTTTATTTTTGAAAGATCATTTTATTGGGGCCTTACTGCTCTTAAAACAATCAATACATCATTTGTATCAAGCATCTATATACATATGTCGCCATCATTATTTTATAAACATTTACTTTTATTGAGCCCTTGGTATCACGACCTCTTTTTTCCCTCCCACCCCCTTCCCGCCCTCGTGACCATTGATAAAATATGTTATCATTATTTTCATATCTTAGTAGCAATCGCTGTCTCTCTTCCCCCATGGTTTCCCCTGGGAGAGGTGTGGTGTGGTGGTGTTATTAGGCTCACTGCAAAGATCAACTGAGGCCAGGCCAGAGAGAAGGAGTTTATTCAGAGCTCCTGAGGGAGATTCACGAGTCCCCAGCTGGGGCCTCTCGAAGTCACACTGCCCGGGAGGGAGGGAAGAGCAGAGAAAGGGAAGAAGCATCCTGAACTCCCACACCAGGTTCATGGTTCCCTAGCTGGGGGCCTGGGAAGTCATGCCTATCTGGTGAAGGGCAGGTTTTTAAGCTGTTCAGGAGGGTAAACAAGAAGGGAGGGGGCAGAGCTGCAGCTGCAGGGTCTTAAGTTGTCTCCATCTGTGAAATTCCCAGGTAGGGCGGTGTCTTGATCGGTCCACCTGTGATAGCGAGGAGATGGCTCATTGTCCTGGAGCCCTTTTGAAGCTAGCTGTCTCTTCCGATAAGGGCAGGTCAGGCTGTTCCTAATGCCCCCTGTTGGTGCCTGACCCAACAGTTATATGTTGTCATTGTGATCAGTACCCCCTTCGACCCTTACCTTCCCCTACTCCTCCTGGTATTGCTACTACCATTTCTGTTCCCGAGGGTTTTATCTGACCTGGATTTTGCGTGTTGTGAGCTCTTACCTGTACCTGTGTACATGCTCCGGTCTAGTCCAAAGTGAAAGACATGACTGGGGTCATGATAGTAGGGGTAGGAAGCCTCAGGGAACCAGCAGAATATTGTGTTTCATCGGAGCTACAGTGCGCCCTGGTAGACGAATCCCTTCCTTGTGACCCTTCTGTGAGGGGATGTCCCATTGTCTACAGATGGATTTTGGGTCACTGCTCCGGCCATCCTTGTTCTCAACAATATGGTTTTTTGTTTGTTTTGGGTCTTCTGGTCTTAAATTTTTTATTGTAACCTGTGTTAAAGTAATACTTTGTTTTTACCTAGTTAAAAGAGTCAGCCTTTTGCTTGAAGTATATAAACATTTCTCATTTTAAGATAAAAACTGATGTTTTTTTTTTACTATTCTTCCATCAGCTTGATATGAGTGCAAGTGGAGAAATATTGCTACAAAAATCATAGAAACCTTTATTAAACAATCTCAAGGAAAAGTTGGTCTCAGCATACCCTCCGTTTAGGTTTCTACACTTTGGGAAGCAGTGCCGCTGTTTCTCTCGCCCAGCAGTTCTCAACCTGTGGGTTGCAACCCCTTTGGGAGCCGAACAACCCTTTCACAGGGTGCCAATTCATAACAGTAGCAAAATGACAGTTATGAAGTAGCAACAAAAATGATTGGATGGTTGGGGGTCACCACATGAGGAACTGTATGAAAGGGTCGCAGCATTAGGAAGGTTGAGAACCACTGCCCTAGTCCTTCCTCAGTGAATTCTGAGCTCTTCCATTTAAAACATGGTAAAACGGCAGCTTTGCTATCTTCGAGGGACTCAAATTGTATCCCTTTTCAGTACTCTGATCTTGGGAGCCAAGAGATGGATGAAGGGGCAAGACTAGGATTGACGAGTAGATGTGGGACGAGGCGTCCCCGTGAGCTTCAAGATAGCCTTGGCAATCTTGGAAGACCGAGCAGGGACATTGTCGTCATGGATAAAAAATGCCTGAGCACAACTTTGCTGGCTTTTTTTTCCCCAACACAGTTTTCAGTTGTCTTCGGTACTTCAAGAAAATCTACCAATCTTACCCCTTCAGAAGCCGCTGTTTTGATTGGACCTTTTTGTTTCTTAAAGGCACCCTAAGGAGACTAAAGTACTGAGAGCTTGTCTGATGCAGAGACAGGTTTAAATTAAACACGCTTTATTTGGAATAAACCTTTTTATTGTGTTCATGAACTGGAACTCTTGTAGCAATACCTTTTAAAAATGATTTTATTGAAAAAAAAAGATTTCATTGTTATAAAATTCACTTATCATATTCTTGCACAGTTAAATCACATTAATGAAGAATCGTATAGACATCATCACAGTCCGTTACAGTGTTCCCTCCCCGCTCCTGCATGCATTGTTTGTAGCAGTACGTTCTGGCTTATCTTCGTATGCTTCCAGTGCCATGAACTGCACTGAAGATTATCTTGGTCAAACATAGCTAATGAGTGAGTCTGTGTGGCTCTGATATGAGTCGCACAGATCAGGTGGGACTGAGTGTGTTTTTGGAGGGGGAGGGGAGTTGGTGGCCTCACACAGCCTAGACTTTCAGGAAATCTAAGTGCAAACTATTTTCCAGGTGCTGTTCCAGCCTTCAAAGAAGGAAAGCAGGACACCAAATCCAGGCAACGCTCGGGACCCGTGGAAGAAACGTTTAGAATTGTCAAGGAGTCTCTCAGTGATGACGTTGTGAACGCCACTCAGGCAGTCTATCAGTTTGAGCTCTCAGGTAATTACCATGGCCAGTCCCTGGGCTCTGTGAAGCACAATAGGACATCATCCCCCGGATAGTTGGCTGTAACCAGGACCCTTACATTAGAAGAGAAAATTAGGGCTTGTGTTTCAAAGTTAAGGTCTATGCATATAGCTATGTGCAATAAAATTTCTTCACATGTACTTTCAGTGTTAAATAATTCCTTGGTCTATGTAATTGGCCAATACACTTAATACGTTGGTCAAATCCGTGATTCCATTCTCAGAAACATTTTTCAAACTCATCTGTTTGGATGGCTATTTGGAAAAACTTCTGAAGGGCATATGGATTGTGACAGGTAGTGTAATGCGACTATTTATCTGCCACAATTCCCTCAGTGTGGCTAGCTTTTTAAACTTCTCAATATTCTTCTTCTTAGAGCCCTTAGAATCCATGGTAAAGTGCCTTAGTGATTCTCTTGCCTGTTTAGACTCCCTGTGTTCGTGCCATTGCCTGTCCAAACCCTGTTTGCTGTTAGGTACTGCGGGTTCATCTCCTAATCTGATTCCATGCACAGCACAGTGAACACGGCCTGGTCCTGCACCCTCACAGTCGTTCCTGTGTTTGAGCCCATTGCGGCAGCTGCTGTGTCAGCCCATCTTGTCAAGAGTGGTCCACTCTCTCTCGCTGCCCCTCTCCTCTACCAAGCATGATGTCCTGTCCCAGGGACTGGTCTCTCTTGATAACATGTCAGAACTCTAGTCCTAAATCAGCTACCTGACTGCCCACAGTTGTGTTCTGCTAGAGGGAACAAGCATGCCACGTGTATGTCTGTAACAGTAGCTGTTCCTCATGGGCTTTCTTTGGGTAGGCTCTAAGCAGTACCTCAGAATTTGCTTTGTGGGCAGCTTAATGCTTCACTTTCCACAATGACTATTTTTAAAACCTTAGCGTTCCTCAAATTTCTCCCTTCGCCATTTCTCTGCTAGTGGTAGATCATTTAAATTCTTCTTTAACAGGTTGTAGACATCTTCAAATTGAAATTGTTTCAGCTTCCTGCCATCAAATATCAAACCAGCCTCTATAGCAGTGGTTCTCAACCTTCCTCATGCTGCAGCCCTTTAATACAGTTCCTCTTGACTGTGGTGACCCCAACCATACATTTATTTTCGTTGCTACTTCATCACTGTAATTTTGCTACTGTTATGAATTGGGCGACCCCTGTGAAAGGGTAGTTCGACCCCCAAAGGGGTCACGACCCACAGGTTGAAAACCCGCTGCTTTATAGCCTGGATCCTCTCTACCTTCCATCCCAGGGGATTGGAGCTCAGTTCAAGATCAGTGCATCTCAAGCTTTAATATTTATGCTGATTAACTGGGATCTTGCTAAAATGCAGGTTTTGACTTGGTAGGTCTGGGGTGGGACCTGCGAGTCCGCATATCCATCAGGTGATGCTAGTATGTACAATAGTCCATAATCACATTTTTTATAAAGCAAAACAAAAACATTTTATTGTGAGAACTAGGAAGTAGGTCATTCCAGCTGACCTTGGCATACCCAAAGACTATGATCCTGACACGCCAGGCCAAGCGACTCACTCCTTCAAGGTGTTCATGTCTAAGACATTTTCATAACCCTGTGTGCTGCTCCACATTCACAGATATGTTCGCAGCAAAGGTAAATGCACATACACAAATGTATATATGTACACACACACATACACACACACACACACACACACACACACACACACACACACACACACACACACGGGGGTAACCCCCCCCCCCCAAATGGATTTTTTTTTTTAAAGCTATGTATTTAAATTTTTTTACCAAACAACCTTATCACCTCCAAAGCACTCTTCATTACACTTAATACATTGGTCAAATCCGTGATTCCATTCTTGGAAACATTTTTCAAACTCATCTGTTTGGATGGCTGACAGCACCTCCCTTGTTTTTTTTCTTCACTCCTCCTATGTAGTCAAATCACTGTCCTTTCATGTCCTTCTTCATTCAAGGAAACAAAAAGAAGTCCCACAGAGTGAGGGCAGGTGAGTAAGATGTGTGGGGCAAGAAAGTCATGCTGTTTTTCTGCCAGAAATGGTGCACTGACATGACTTCATGAGCAGGTGCATTGCTGTGGTAGCAAAACCAGTCCCGTCTGCCACAAATCAGGCCTTTACTGTCACACGTTAGCTAATCTTTTCAGAACCCCCAAATAGAAAGCATGATTAGCAGTCTGACATGGTGGAATGAACTCCAAATGCACTATCACCCTCACATCAAAAAAACAAAGGAGCATCGTCTTGATCTTTGATTTCACTTGAGCTTTTGGGGGCCAGGTGATGATGGCATCTTCGCTGGCTTGATTGATGTTTGCTTTAGGGGTCAAGGGGAAACATGCAGTGCTTTGAAAGAACAGCTCTGAAACGACCCAAACTTTTTTTCCCCAAGGTCATTTTGCAGCGACCCTTCTCATTCCAACATTTTCCATTAAAATTCACTGAACCGAGCTCCAAGATAGTCCCAATAACTTCCCTATCTCTTCAATGGTCCGTCTTCTGTCTTCATCCATTTGGGAAGTTGACAGACAGGAAGTTGACGGACACCCTGAATGAGGTTTGTCATTAATTGACAGTTCATCTTTTTTGCAATGAGAAAATCACTCATAAACAAGTTTTTCCCGTAGCGCTGCCCTTGTAAGCTGTGCTCAACATCACAACAGTTTCTGCAGTATTTTTCCTCAGCAGCAAACATAATTTCACAGCTGCACGCATTTCTCTTAAATCGACCATCACACACAAAGAGGTTCCAGCAAAACTGCTTTCATGAAAAATTCACTGTAACCAGAGAGAACCTCCTAGGAGACGCTACTGGGGGCACTAACTCAGAGCGAGTTGCTTGAAACTCACCTAGCAGGAAAAATGTGTACTGTGAAAGTTCCATACAGCGAAGCTTTTATCCATTTTTTGGTGGGGATACCCCCTATACACACACATATACATGTATATTCCCTCTACCGCCCTAGGTATACTCCCACACCCTCCCATACCTGTTCAGTCTGCATTTGTTTATCCAGGCATCTACTTGTAGATCACCACGTTGATCTTGCAGGACAGGGTATATGATTACACGGCCTTTTTTTTTTTTATTTAAGGAGAATATAAAAGAGACAAAAACAGCACAAAGACACAGACACATCACCCGGATGAGTGAGCCATTAACCAAAGTCTTAGTAATGGGTCCAAGGACCAGGATCCCACTTTGAGTAACAGCGTTCTGGATCCCATTTTCTTTGTCTCATTTGTCTATGCTCCCAACGGACTCATCCTGCAGCTTCCTTTCCAGCATTCACATTCCAGTTCGACGACTCCTCAACGTGCTGCGCTGTTGATTCTGGGCTTTGCATATCTCATTCCCATTGCCTACAACATGTTTCCACTTCCCTGTCTAGCTAATTCCCCGTTTTTAAATCCCAGCTTCAATGGAGTTTTCCTGGCTCTTTATAAATATGCTCCCATGTCCTCCTCCGAGTCCTCGTTTGTAAGCCGAACCATGTTTTTCCGGTTTATTGCAGCATCTTCAGAGCCTAGTACCGTGCCTGGCATATAATAAACCAGATTCTATCATTGAGTCCATTCACACTCATCGCAACCCTATAGGACGGGGTAGAACCACCCCTATTGCCTTTCCAGACTAACTGTACAGGAGTAGAAAGCCTGGTCTTTCTCCTGGCATATAATAAGTCGTTAATGAGTATTTTCTGACTTTAATTGAAACAAGCCTGAGACTTTTAACTTGGTAAACCGCATTATGGCTAATTGTAGCCATGACTGAGTTTAAGAAGAACAGGGCTCCATTGACATTTACTTGTCTGTATTGATCTCCTGTGTAGGTGACGATGGAGGAACCTGGTTTCTTGATCTCAAAAGCAAGGGTGGCAGTGTTGGATTCGGAGAACCTGCTGAGCGGGCCGATGTGGTGATGAGTATGTCTACTGAAGATTTTGTAAAAATGTTTTCTGGTGAGTTTTTCATTGGTTTACTTCTTTAAGGAAAATTTAGTTTTGCTTTGGCTCTTAACATAGAATCAAGCCTCGTAGATGTTTGCAGTGGCCGGATCTTAGCAGCTGTGGATGTTGAAGAGCATGCAGTCTGGGGAGGGCTATTCTTACTGGGCCACTGCTGCCCCTTTTACCTCATCCAACAAACGGAGTGGGTTTCCCTGTCTGCCTTACTGAGAAGCCAGTAAGATAATGCTGGGAACAGAGAGAAGTCAAAATGACGGGTTGATGGGTTTCGTTAGATCACGGAGGGACCAGCCATCCATCATGGCCCAGGGACCCGGATCTGTGAAATCCCTAACCCAGAGAGCCTTTTATGTCATTCTTTATTTTGCCCATGGACTTCTAGTTGTGCCACACACACACAAAAATTAAGGTTATTTTCGCTTTCTTTAAGAAGCCCTAGTGGCACATTGGTTAAGGCACACAGCTAACCAAAGATTAGTGCCTTGAACCCATGAGCAGTCTGAGGGAGAACAGTAGGCCAGTCTGTTTCTGTAACGATTTACACCCTTGAAGACCCTGGGGCAGTTCTCTGTCCTGTAGCTTATTATGAGGAGTTGAAATCAATTTAATGGTCACAAGATCATACTACTGAAAGATTACCTGCAGCTAGTTTGGGGTTATCATCTTATGCACTCTTTTGGTGAGTGTATATAAGCATATATTTGTGCTTGTTAAAAAAAAAACAAGACCAGGCTATAATCTTGATAATCTTTTTCACTTAAAATATTATAATATATTTTCATTTTAATGAATCGGTATCACTTTTAATTGTTTTTAATAATTTGTTTAGTGTTTAAGCAGCTGTTTCTCCATAGAGCTCCACAATGCTTTGGACATAGTAGATCCTCAATAAATACTTGGTGACTGTGACTCTTACAAATATATAATATTTTAGACTTAATACCCACTTTCAAATGTATTATCAGCTTCTATGTTGAGATCATGATAATTATAGCTAATATTTATTGTGTAATAAGGATGGGTTAAGCAATCCTCTCAACAGTCCTTTGAGACAAATTACTTTGCCCATTTTACAGAAATGTAAACTCAGACTTTGTTTCATTGAACAATAAGCCCACGGCCACACAGTGCTTTACTCAATGGTGGAACCGGGATTTAAATCTGAGCTGAGTCCAAACCTCAGTTTTATTTATTTTTCAATCATTTTATTAGGGGATCATACAACTTTTTCTTTCTTTTTTTTCCCATGCAACTCTTATCACAATCCATATATGCATCCATTGTGTCAAGCACATTTGTACATTTGTTTCCCTCATCATTCTCAAAACATTTGCTTTCTGCTTGAGCCCTTGGTATCAGCTCCTCATTTTCCCCCCTCCATCCCCACTCCCTCGTCCCCCATGAACCCTTGATAATTTATAAATTATTATTATTTTGTCAGATCTTACATTGTCCGACGTCTCCCTTCACTCACTTTTCTGTTGTCCATCCCCCAGGGAGGAGGTTATATGTAGACCCTTGGAATCGGTTCCCCTTTTCTACCCCACCTCCCCTCCACCCTCTGGTATCGCCACTCTCACCACTGGTCCTGAGGGGTTCATCTGTCCTGGGTTCCCAACGCTCGTGTTCTTAATCATTGTTATTCTGTCCAACGATGAAAGAACCAAGTCATTGTGGGTTTTTGTTGTTGTTATTTTGATTTTTAATTTGGATTTAATTTTTATTTTTGTAACAGTAGGTTTCTCATTTCTATCTTTTTATGAATGTACCCCTGGATTGACTGGGAGAGCGATCCATATATAGCTATCTGAGTATAAGCAGTCCCCAGTGACAAATGCGCTCCCTTCCGAAGTGTGTCTTTCAGTCAAATTTACAGAGGAATTGAGCAGATGAGCACAGTTCTTACTTTTTAGTTCAAAGGACTTCAAGAATTTTCAATGATTTAAAAGCTACATGTGCAGCAAGTGAAGGTGATTGTGATGAAGGATTTGTTGCAAGTGGTTCTGTGGTTTCAAACACTGAAGGGCAAGTATGAGCTGTCCCTAGCGTGAGGATTTCCCAGTTAAACCCATTGGCTGCTCTGCAGAAGAAAGACGAGGCCGTCTGGTCCCGAAGAGAGTTGTAAAGCCTCAGAAACCTTACGTTGAGGTCATGATGTCCGAATAGAGTTGGAATCAAATCTATGCTAGTAGGAGTTTGTATAATGGATCTGTTATTAACGTTTAGAACAACTTTAAGGTGATCAATTGATCAAATAATAACAATCTCTTCTTTTGGCCAGTAGAGGCCACTGCATGGTGAAACAATATGATAGTAATAAATGATAAAATATTGCATCATTTTATTAATATATGGAGAAGAGAGGTATTTGTAGTATATTGTGCTTAATAGCTATTTTTAAAATTTTTTAAAGTACAATTTAGGTATAATTACATCATATAGTCCACTCATTGTAAGCCCACATGATTTTCAGTTGGTTTATAAAAGTTATGCAATCATCGCTACAATTCGGTTTTAGAACATTTCCATCTCCCCTAAAATTTCCTTCAGGTGTCTTTGGCTCTGACAGGTTTCCACCTTACACAGGTGGGTCTGACTTTCAAGGGTTTGCTTCATAAGCTGTCACATAAATTGGCCTACCTATTCTGTCTACAAAAAGAACGACGAAGGCTTATTAGTGCACCAAGCACATATTCTCCTTTTTACATGTAAATCTCCCCTTCTATATGTAAATTGTCATAAGAGAAGGCAGAAATAATAAATCAGAATTATATGGGCCTAGCTTTGTATTGTCGGACTGCCGTATACCACCAGCAGTGTGCCTGTGGGCACGTCGCAGGCTCCTCTGAGCCCAGCTCCCTCATTTGTGAACAAATGCCACTGGAAACGAGAAGTTCTCTCATTCCACGGAGCTTACATTATTCACATATTGTTATTTGCTATAATTCTGTTTTAGTGCTTATATTTCATACGCTGGCATTTTTGTGGTTAGAATAATGAGTCCCTAGGAACAAAGACAAACTCCCCGCCACTGAGGCAGTTCCGGCTCAGAGCGCCCTAGAAGGATGGAGCGGCCTCTGGCTTTCTGAGGCTCAAGGTTGATGGGCGCGGAGAGCCGCATCGTTCTCCTACAGGCGGCTGGTGCTCTGGGGCTGCTGACCTGCAGTTTGTCACCCAGTGCATCAACCACTACACCATCAGTGCGCCTTCTGATGTCCGCACAAAGGGCTTCAGTGTGTTTGTGGGCAAATAGAAATAAAAAAAATAATGGACCTTTTCCACAAATGTTTGAAGCCCCTTTGTACATTACAATAAGATAGTTTTGGAAAACATTTTATAAATAATAAATATATCTGCTCCATTTAATTTTTAAAATTATTAAAAATTTTAAATTTAAATATTAAAAAAGTATTAAAATTTTAATGAACTATAATAGACTAGAAAATTAAAGACACTAGATAATATTTTTTATCTCATTTCATTTGAAGACTGTGCATCCTTTAGTATAATGTAACTAAATGTTATATAAATGTTGCATCTCAAGCTTTTTGCTACTGTCTTTTGTTGGTTGTGCTCTTATATTCTAGGTTACTGTTAACACGGAAGTCTCGGAATTGGGATTCCCAAGACACTGATATAAGATTTGTAATAGACATGTCTGTGCTCCTGAGGTTTATAGAACTCAAGCAGGTTCTTTCTATGGTGCATGTTCTTGAAGCAGTACACCTTACAGAGACTAATGGATGCTCTCCCCCCTCCCTCCTCCATGTAGGGAAACTAAAGCCAACAATGGCATTCATGTCAGGGAAACTAAAGATCAAAGGTAACATGGGCCTAGCAATCAAATTGGAGAAGCTGATGAATCAGATGGACGCCAAACTGTGAAGGCAAAGGGAAGGAAAGACCCGACCACTGAGTTCAACAAGTAAAAATGCTCAACCGTTCAACATCTAAAGCTTGATTTCTTTCCTGTTGAAGTGTAAGGATATATGCATGTTTATCTTAAAAAAATAGAATTCCTATATCTGTTAAACTTGAAATTGTAATTGAAACAAGCAGCTAATAAAACATAACCTTCATTAAGTGGACTTAGAAGGAATATGAATTTTTGCATTTTGTGAGTTTGCTCTCAGAGCCTAATACTATGCATAATTGTTTCCTTTAGAGACTTTAATAAGCAATCAGCCTGGGTCAAAGCAATACAATGATCTCTTTTCATAGTTTCTTCCCATGTAAAATGAGGCTAATCTGTTTAAAAATTTTAGTTTGGGATTGTATATTAATGAGACTCTTTATGGTGTTTTGGATTTTTATATGCTTATTTTTGAAGAAAATATTCTACAGTGTATTTTCACAGAGATCACCTAATAAACTACTTAATAAGTTTCACTTGTGGATGCTAAACTAAAACAGCACGGGGCTTTCATTTTGTTACGTAGTTTTCCAGGTGCATGCTTTCCTTGTGTGTGTTGGTTGCCGTGAGTCTGTCCGATCCCTGGTCATCTGTGCACAAGAGAATGAAACCTGGCCCAGTCGTGTGGGCCTTCTCAGTGCTTGCTTTGGCTGAGCTGGCTCGTGTAAGGTCTTGACCCTCGACTGCACCAGGCATGATGTCCGCCTCCAAGCACTCGTCCCTGCTAATCACACAGCCATTGTTAATATAATTCAGCTCATCGCAGTATACATTTTTACTCATAAGTACAAGGGGGTGCCCCCCCAAATCACTGTCCTTGCATGTCCCTCTTCATTCATGGAACAAGAAGAAGTCCCACAGAGTGAGGTCTGGTGAGTAAGGTGCGTGAGGCAAGAGGCATGCTGTTTTTTGCCAAAAACTGGCACACTGAGATGACTGCATGAGCAGGTGCATTGTCGTGGTGGCAAAACCAGTCCCTGGTCTGCCACAAATCAGGCCCTTTTTGTCGCACACAGTTAGGCAATCTTTTCAGAACCTCTAAATAGAAAACTTGATTAACTCTGATGACCTGGTGGAATGAATTCTAAATGCATTATCCTCTCTCACATCCAAAAAACAAACGAGTATCATCTTAATCTTTGATTTCACTTGACAAGTTTTTGGTTGTTTTTTTGGGGGGTGGGGTGATGATGGCATCTTCCACTGGCTTGATTGATGTTTGCTTTTGAGGTAAGAATAGCATCATATCTCATCAGTAATGACCTTGGGGAAAAAGTCTGGGTCTCTTTGGAACTGTTCTTTCAAAGAATAGCATGGTTCCACTCAGCACTCTTTTCCACTGGCCATTCAGAACCTGAGGCACAAATTTTACAGCGACCCTTTTCATTCCCAGAGCTTCTGTTAAAATCTGCTGAACTGAGCTCCAGATAACTTCCCATCTCTTCAGCCGTCCATTGTCGGTCTTCAAGCACAAGGGCGTGAGTTTTGTCAACATTTTCATCCATTCAGGAAGTTGATGGATATCCAGAATGAGGTTTGTCATCCGTCAACAAACATATCACCTTTTTTGAAACGATGAAACCACTCACTCGTACACTGAGTTTTTTCCATAGCTTTGCTCTTGTTAGCTGTGTTCAACATCACAACAGTTTCTGTGGTATTTTCCCAAGCAGGAAACAAAATCTCCCAGACGCAAGCTATTCTCTTAAATTGGCCATCACAAACAACGAGGTTTGAGCAAAACTGTTGTAGGAAAAATTCACTGTGACCAGAGAACCTTGCCAGGCGATGCCACTGGGTGCACTAACTTAGAGCAAGTTTTTCGATGCTCACCTAGTGGAAAAAATGTGTACTACAAAAGCTCTGTGAATTGAAGCTTTTTTTGGTGTGTGTGTGGGTCACCCCTAGTATGTAAAAAATTATTTAAAATTTTATCTGCAGAAGCATGCACTTGGTCATAGTATTTTGAAATGAGAACAGTATAATGGATGGTTTGTTTTTAAACTGAAAAAACCCTTCACCTTTAGCTTTAATCAGAAACAATTACTCTGTGTCATTCTTTTATTTCTCATCTTCTAAGAGTATTGTTATCGAATGATGTAGCTGATTCTGACATTTCTGAGAATCATGTTAGGAGCATCTGCGGGTCAGAAATGGGAAGGGACCAGCCTAAGAGCAAGATTAGTCCATCTTGACCAACAAGAAGAACTGTAGTGGTGTAATGGGGTAGCACCCTGCTGCAAACCAAAAGGTGGTTGGTTCAGATCACCTGGGAACTCTGCAGAAAAAAGATCTGGCAATCCGTTCTCATAAAGATGATCCCATAAGTCCAAACACTTTGGGGCACTTAACAAGAACAATAGCCAACAAAAGAGCCCCTGGGCTGCACAAGCAGGCAAGCACTCAACTACTAGCTGAAAGATTGACAGTTCGAACCCACCCAGGAGAGCCTCAGAAGACAGGAGCAGAAATATGGGTCTGAGTAATTACAGGCTTGAAAATCCTCTGGAGCTGTTCTGCATACCTGGGATCACGGCTGGTTGGAATTAACTCAAACAACAGCAGCTAATGAAAATCTCCAAATTGACCTTGATTGGAGTTTGAAGACTTCATATACTACCCCACCTCCTTTATGCCTAGCTAGAGTGATTTGGGGGCTGGCAGCCTCCAAACACTATTGGTAGCTCAAAGTCCTTTCTAGCCACCTGAGGGGCTGGCCAGAGTCCTGATTGGATACTACCCGGGGACATTTTCTCCTGAAGGTTTCCTGAAGACTTCTTTCTCGGCAGTCATTGCAGTCTCAAAGTTTTGTTTTGTTTTTTAGTCTCAAAGTTTTATGCAACAAAAAACACCTTGAGGCAGAAATTCTGGATTCTGAAATGTGAAGTTGATGCTAAAGGACTTTGGGAAAAGCTATTTCCATAGGACCCTAGTTTTCACATCAGTAACTGAGGGAGTTGGGTGCAGGCAGCCACAGCCCTTTGTGCTCATTAAGAAATGCCATCTACCTGCGCTATTCTGTCAAAAATGAAGCACAGATTTGACGGAGCAGTAGAATTTATAAGAGAATGGCCACAACCTACAGCACTGAAATGCCTTGTGCCACACAGCCATCTAACATAAATTCACTGGTCAGTGCAGGGTGAGTTGTGAGGAGAGGCTGTGGTCAGTAGGAAGACCTAATGGAGAAAGTGGGGCTTCTACTCCTGTCCCTCTACACTCCGTTCCACACAGCTGCCAGAGTGATCCCTTCAAAGTGTAAATCATTGTATCACACCTTAGCTGCACACACACCCTTAGTTGACCATTGGGAGGAGTCTGGGAGCCATCCGTGGTTTGCCATCTACTCCCTTAAAGGTGGCCATTCAAAGCCACCCAGTGGCTCTTTGGAAGACAGGCCCGGCAAAGTGCTTGGGTGATGACTGACAGCCTTGGAAATACTCCGGGGCAGATCGACTCTGTCCTCTGGGTTGGAATTGACTGGACACCACTGGGTTTGCATCTGGTGGCTAATCTTTATGAAATCACTCTCCAGCAGCGTGGCTAATGAGTTTGAACTGCCGTTTTGGTTGGCAACTGTGAACGAGCTTTGGACCATTGTGCCACCGGGGCCCTTTCCTGGTGATGGCCACCTCACAGTCACCGCCCTGGACTGTACTTATTCTTATTCCAAGGTTAGGGATTAAATGCAGTGCTGCTTAATCATCTGGGAATCCTATTAATTGCAGCTTCCGGTTCACTAAGTCTGGGGCGCATTTCAAATAAATTCCCACGCGAGGGGCTCTGGCTGCTGCTGCCTGGAGGATTGCGACGTGACAAAAAGATCTAAGGAGCTCTCTGAAGTTCTGACCCCGGAATACTGGGATCGAAAGGGGGGAAACGGTATTAGTGCACACTGTACCGGGACGTTGGGCGAGTCCTATTTGTATTTAACATTGGACCTTCCTCAATAAATAGTATATCCCAGAGGCAATATTATGGAGGGATTACCACAAGCTGCAAAAGGTCTAGCTTTTCTTTTTTTTCCACATTTTTGTTGGCACTTCATCCACGTCATACAATTCAATAATTCAATCCTATCAAGACGTTGCCCAATCACCACCACCATCCTACAACATTTTCAACAAGAGGAGTTGCCCAATCACCACAATCAATTCTAGAACATTTTCATCTTCCTTGTACATTGTTATTCACGTAATTATTTTTTAAAACTGACAGAAATATACACAACAAAACATTCTCCAATCCAATAACATCTACATGTATAATTCAATGTCATTGATTAAACTCTTCGTGTTGTACAACCATTACTGGTCTTGTCCAAATGATTCCACCACTATTAACATAAACTCAATGGCCCTTAAAAACTCTTCCTCCGGGGAGCCCTGATAGCATAGTGGTTACTTACTGAGCTGCAAACTGCAAGGTTAGCAGTTCAAAACCGCTGGCCAGCTTTCTCCTCCCGTAAAGAGTTACAGCCTCCCCCCAATAAAATGATTTAAAAAAAACAAACTCTTCCTCCTTCACTCATGGTAACCATTGGTCAAGTGTGACTTCTGTTTGATTTTTTTAGTAGTTGTCTTGATATAATATTCACATATATACATCCATAGTTAAATCGCGTTTTTAAAAAGTTGCATGTATCTCATCACCATCAGTTCTAATACTCCCTCCCCCCTCCTGCATTCATTGTTTGCTCCCCAAATTCCTTCCCCCTCCTCATCCCATGTCCCTGATGAAGGTCAGCAAGGTGAGATGTGTGGATGCCCGGGTGCAGCGTGAGCTTCCCGCAGAGCTGCCCTTTCTGGATGCTGGCCGAGATGCACAGGGCAGGCTGGGCAGGCAGGTCTAGTGGGAGGCTGTGCAGACGGAGAATGTCTCACGGCTGAGGGAGAACCCCTGTGCTTTCTCATGGGCTGCAGATGTGCTCAGCCACCGTCTCAGAGGAAGACAGCATCTTTATGCCACTGGCAGCAACTACCATGGGCAGCTCCTCTGGAAAGAGACCCTGTGTTCTCCGAGGGTGTTTGCTTCCAAATGTCCTTGTCAAGGTGGTCGTCACTTGTTAAGAGGCCAGAGAGGCTGTGCCGCCTCGGAGCCACCCAAGAACAACTGACTGACCCCTGCTGGGCCCGCACCTGCTCCCCATTGGGGATGTCGTTCAGCCTGCTAAGG